TTATATAATGCATTTACTTGTGTTTAGAATATTTGCGCATTCAATATATTAGAATCTTGAGTAATTAACGAAAAAGTTTCAATAACCAATTCACCCCCTCTTGGTTAGTTATTCTTGGGCTAACACATACATGCTCCATGTACTTATCAGGGTTAAGGTCACAAATAAATATCCAAGTAGAAGCAGATAATCACACCAATCAATCAAGAACAAATAATCATACGATGGAAATATAACATAAGATAATCCACAGATCTTTTCCAGAATACATTCACACAGAGCAACAGATTAATACCAAATTAATCAAGCAAATAGTTAAAAACATGTGAAGTATAAATCACCAATTGCACCAAGGATCACCGGGCTCAGTCTCGATTCAACACCACAATCAACCAATAAACATATCACAAACCAACACTCCTCCAAACGGTTGCTCCAACGAATGGATAGCCCACAAAGGACTTGGGAATGAGAAGATTACAGCCAAGAAAGTTATTCAAGAAAGTTAGCCACAAAGGATTACAAAGAGAAGAAGAAACGGGGTTCACTAATGGCACAAAACAAAGCACAGTGAAGATGACTGATTCTTGTTTCATATAAAAAAAGGGACGACTCTCAATGTTCTCACTAACTTGCAATAGTAATGGATGAGTGATATATAAGAGAAATAGGATGGGCTTTAGGTTAGAGAGTAGATAGGGCACAATAAGACATTAGTAGTGGGCTAGCAACCCATAGGAGCCATCCAAGTTTGAGTTGGGTCATGAACAACTCTAATTAATTAGATTGTTTTAAATGACCCAAGTGGATTACGTGATTCGACTTGTTCGATTGCAGTGTTGACATTTCACTTCACTCATCGGTCGAGGCCAATGAAGTATAATCCAACTAAAAATCGATTTAACATCATAGCCCGAGATTTATTGGGTATCAAAACCCAAAAAATCTCCAGCTTGATTCCCAATAAATCTGCAAGCAAACAAAACATACAGTTTATACTTGCACAATCAAGGTAACTAATAAAATTGGTATCACAGACCTTACATTGTGTTTCGAACCTGAAACACATACCAAACATGCTCCATATACTCACCAGAGCTAAGATCAAGAACACCTAAGTAGAAACAAGTAATCACAACAATCAATCAAGAGCAAATAAACATGCAATAGAGATATCATATAGGATAACGCAGATCTTTTCAACTATGTTGACACAGAACAACAGATTAACACCAAGTCAATCAACATGCCAACACATANGCAATAGAGATATCATATAGGATAACGCAGATCTTTTCAACTATGTTGACACAGAACAACAGTTTAACACCAAGTCAATCAACATGCCAACACATATGTAACAAATGCATAAATGACCTCACGAAGAAGATCTCACCACACTTATCCTATCCCATTCTGTGTTGCTCACCCCTCAAGAACACAAATCTCACATCATCGCCCACCATGATCACTAGACCAATCACTCGAACAAACATGTCTAACTGGTAAGTCTCTATAGATCCTAAGTTCTCGGGATAATCCTCTATCACCACTTCACTTCTTCAACCTAAGTGGATAATGGGTCTCCACCTAACAGAAGTAATAGAAATACCTCTATCGCACTCCACCTGATCAGGGTCTCTTCTAGATAAAAGATTCCAAACATTTGATCACATCTCAACCGCGATCCAAATGTCATACTGCACATCCCACGGTACAAACCACCATGTACCCCTAGGCATCTATACTCCACCTTACCAAAAGACACACACACACACTCTGCTAATGCATCCTAAAACCACTATACATGCAAGTAATTACACCAAGTAATAAGATCACTTCAATTCATGCCAATGCACATATCAAACATATTGAAATGCAACATATAATCATGCAACAAAATTGAGCAATCACATACATGGAGAAAGGATTACACACGGATGCAAATGCAGTAACTAGGGTAACACTTAAAAAGGTTCACTAGGGTCATCACTTGACCCTAAAACCAGATT